TACAGGAACTATTCGAGCCGTTCATGCCAGACTGGGGAGAGAGGTGTTGTAATAATGTAAAATATGTGAAAAATACAACCTAGTATGAGAGCATGTTCTAGTACACCCCCAAAACAAAATCAAGACCTTGTAAAAGAGCATAATAGGACCCCTTTAAGAAAAGTACCACTTCTCTAGCTGAATCTGGGTTTGCCTTTGTGTGCAATTAAAGACAGTGGACTAAGACCATGCATTGGCTATCGTGGGTAAAATAAACTACCTTAAATACCCCCTGCTGACCTTTGAGTATGACTATGGGGTCAAAGTCTTCGGCCTCACTAACAGCCTGGCAGTTTTTCAAGTCCTGGTTAAAGCCATTCTTGACATGCTTTACTGATATGTACACTATGTGTGTGCCTCGATGATATCTTCATTTTTTTTCCAGAGCTGAGGCTGAACACATTCAACTTGTGAAAAGAGTGCAACAATGTCTCCTAGCAATTGATTTGTGTACCAAAATAAGTGACACATCTCTTCTGTTTCATTACTTGGTTATGTCATCTCATCAAACATAATGGCCATGCATCAGTAAGATCAAGGCAGTGTCTAGACAGTTCTGAGCAAAATTACGCAGGTGTTGCACTCAATGCAACTTCGTCTTATCTGAAATTCATCATTAAAACCAAGATTGAACCTTGTTTTTTTTCCGATTTCAGTTTTGTATCAAAGAACACAAAAAGCCTGAGAGTCTCATACCACAGTTCATGAACATTCAATGCCAGTATTGCACTGGATTTTGTTATTTTTACAGCTGAGTGTTTTGTTTTTTTTGCATTTGTTATGAGTCATGGAAGTGACAGCAGAGACAAATGACATGTTCGTGCTGTAATCAGCCTCGGCTCTAGACTTTGAGTGTTTGGGGAGGAGAAGAGGGACAGTGATATGAAATGGGTGCGACTGGCACAGTGAAGTGGCGGAAAGACAGACTAGTGACATCAACTATTCAAATATTTAAAATATATAAATAATAGGTCTGTCGATTTAACATGTTAATTTGGTGTGATTAATTATGGACAAAAATAATGAAAAAAAAAATTAAAGCATTGAAAGGCCACCGGTGGCTTTAGGAAAACAGCGAACGGTCAGCAATATGCCTTTCAAGTGGTAAATGTCAAGGAAAATGTCAAAGTCATTTATGTGTGCCAAACTTCCTGCTGCCAGCTGTTGGCGCTATGATTATAACTGAATATTGGCATGTAGATGTCTTCAGGCCAGAACTTTTATCAAACATATGACGTTTGGTGCAGATTGAACATGGTATGTTTGAGTTCGTGTAAAACATGACATATCCTGTTGCCAACAGGTGGCGCTATGTTTATAACTGTATATTGGCCTTTAGATGCTTTCAGGCCAGGACTCTTACCAAACCAGCAGGTGGCGCTATGACTATAACTAAATATGGGCATGGGAATGTGTTCTGAACTGGACTCTTATCAAACAATTGAAGTTTGGGGCTGATCGGACATTGTATGCGTTATGAGTTATAACAACTTCCTATTTAATGGCGAAACATCAAAGTTTGTCAGGCCGCCACGGACACGCCCTTCAACAAAAACTCAAGATCTTTGCAATTTAACATCACATGGGCTTTAGATTACAGTGATCAAATTTGTGACCCTGGACCGCAAAACCATTCTTAAGTCACTTGGGTACATTTGTAGCAATAGCCAAAAAAAACATTGTATGGGTCAAAATTATTGATTTTTCTTTTATGGCAAAAATCATTAGGATATTAAGTAAAGATCATATTCCATGAAGATATTTTGTAAATTTCCTACCGTAAATATCTCAAAACTTAATTTTTGATTAGTAATATGCATTGCTAAGAACTTCATATGGACAACTTTAAAGGCGATTTTCTCAGTATTTTGATTTTTTTGCACCCTCAGATTTTCAAATAGTTGTATCTCGGATTGTCCTATCCTAACAAACCATACATGTACGGAAAGCTTATTTATTCAGCTTTCATGTGATATATAAATCTCAATTAAAAAAAAAATTACCCTTATGACTGGTTTTGAGGTCCAGGGTCACATTTTGTGTTGATCTGTTTAAATCTCTAGAAGGAGTTCATTTAAATACAACACCTGAAAATGGCAAAAACGGCATAAAACTCGCAGAGAAAATTCAAAATAATAGACTTCCTGTTGGGTTTTGGACTTCGTACCTGGGCAGTTTATTGTATGTATTGGTGTCTACCGACTTTCGTACATGTATTTCGCACATCGGCACTTCGTTGAAATTTATAGGTGGCGCTACTGAGCCATTTTACCACACCCACTTCTGAAACCCATATCAGATGTACATTTTCCACTTCTGGCATGTGTGCAAAGTTTCATGAGTTTTTGAGTTTTAGGCCCTCAAAAATGCGATTCATTTTGGAGAAGAAGAAACTGAGCAATTCCAATAGGGTCCTCGCACCGAGTGTTTGGGGAGGAGAAGAGGGACAGTGATATGAAATGGGTGCGACTGGCACAGTGAAGTGGCGGAAAGACAGACTAGTGACATCAACTATTCAAATATTTAAAATATATAAATAATAGGTCTGTCGATTTAACATGTTAATTTGGTGTGATTAATTATGGACAAAAATAATGAAAAAAAAAATTAAAGCATTGAAAGGCCACCGGTGGCTTTAGGAAAACAGCGAACGGTCAGCAATATGCCTTTCAAGTGGTAAATGTCAAGGAAAATGTCAAAGTCATTTATGTGTGCCAAACTTCCTGCTGCCAGCTGTTGGCGCTATGATTATAACTGAATATTGGCATGTAGATGTCTTCAGGCCAGAACTTTTATCAAACATATGACGTTTGGTGCAGATTGAACATGGTATGTTTGAGTTCGTGTAAAACATGACATATCCTGTTGCCAACAGGTGGCGCTATGTTTATAACTGTATATTGGCCTTTAGATGCTTTCAGGCCAGGACTCTTACCAAACCAGCAGGTGGCGCTATGACTATAACTAAATATGGGCATGGGAATGTGTTCTGAACTGGACTCTTATCAAACAATTGAAGTTTGGGGCTGATCGAACATTGTATGCGTTATGAGTTATAACAACTTCCTATTTAATGGCTATTTAAAGTTTGTCAGGCCGCCACTGACACGCCCTTCAACAAAAACTCAAGATCTTTGCAATTTAACATCACATGGGCTTTAGATTACAGTGATCAAATTTGTGACCCTGGACCGCAAAACCATTCTTAAGTCACTTGGGTACATTTGTAGCAATAGCCAAAAAAAACATTGTATGGGTCAAAATTATTGATTTTTCTTTTATGGCAAAAATCATTAGGATATTAAGTAAAGATCATATTCCATGAAGATATTTTGTAAATTTCCTACCGTAAATATCTCAAAACTTAATTTTTGATTAGTAATATGCATTGCTAAGAACTTCATTTCAAGTCAAGTCAAGTCTGCTTTATTGTCAATTCTTCTACATGTACAGCATTTTTTGCACCCTCAGATTCCAGATTTTCAAATAGTTATATCTCGGATTGTCCTATCCTAACAAGCCATACATGAATGGAAAGATTATTTATTCAGTTTTTTAAAAATTACCGTTATGACTGGTTTTGTGGTCCAGGGTCACATTTTGTGTTGATCTGTTTAAATCTCTAGAAGGAGTTCATTTAAATACAACACCTGAAAATGGCAAAAACGGCATAAAACTCGCAGAGAAAATTCAAAATAATAGACTTCCTGTTGGGTTTTGGACTTCGTACCTGGGCAGTTTATTGTATGTATTGGTGTCTACCGACTTTCGTACATGTATTTCGCACATCGGCACTTCGTTGAAATTTATAGGTGGCGCTACTGAGCCATTTTACCACACCCACTTCTGAAACCCATATCAGATGTACATTTTCCACTTCTGGCATGTGTGCAAAGTTTCATGAGTTTTTGAGTTTTAGGCCCTCAAAAATGCGATTCATTTTGGAGAAGAAGAAACTGAGCAATTCCAATAGGGTCCTCGCACCATCGGTGCTCAGGCCCTAATAATAATAACCCACCCCAGCCAGTTTAAATGTTGCAGTGCATGCAG